GCATTAACGGTCTGCCAGGAAAACTGGCAAGGAGCTGAGGACGACCCAGTCCTCCTTGAAGAGCTGGTGCAGATCGAGGTGGACAAAGGCTGGTTGCGGTGCATTGAGTCGTTGGAAGCTGCACGTCAGATCTGGCCAATGTTGCTGTTGGTAAACTGAATATTGTACATTCTGAAGGGAGAAAACCTCGCTCGGTGGTTGATTCTTCCATTTGTGGTACCAATGCCTGCTGCCTTATTCCGGAGCGCTCTGCATTGCCTACATTACAAACTATCCAAGCCTCTTGGCCATTGCGGGGGAAGCTCGAACCTCTGGCAGCTTGGTCCATCGACGTTCAGGCAGCACACAAATCCATTATGGTGCGAGAGTCTGAACAGGGTCTACTTGGCATTCGAGTGGGTCCCAAGCTTTATTTCTATACAGTTTGTCCATTCGGTGCAGCTTTTTCGGCTTTCTGGTTTGCTCGCCTCGGTGCATTTTTCGTTCGCACACTTCATCGCTTGATCTTCATGGCTCACTTCCTGGCAATGTATGTGGACGACTTACTTGGTTTTCAGTCTGCATCAGTTGCAGAGATGAGCTTTTGCATTACTCTATGTTTCTGTGGGGCCTTTTCCATCCCCTTATCATGGAAGAAATTACAGTTTGGATGCTCCGTTCGATGGATAGGATGGGTGCTGAATTTCAGTATGGGCTGTGTTTGCATCCCATCTGACAAGCTTCTTCGCTTGCATTGTGTTATTGCTGAGGTTCTTCGGGGCAAGTACACTGATCGGAATACATTGAGCAAACTGTGTGGTATGCTACAATGGCTTTTCAAGCTTTTCCCTCTTGCGAGGCCTTGGCTGCGATCCCTTTATCAGGACCTCAACACACCTCGTGCAACCAACTTCAGCATTCGTCAGAATGACTGGCAATCTTTCATTGCCTGCTTGAATGACAATTTACATCTGATCAGGTTGCCCCCTGGAGCAGCCATCACGGTGGGCAGTAAAGTGTTGGCTGTCAGACATCGCAAAGTCAGTAACAAGAGTGAGCTGTTGCATTGCAACCTTGGTGATAAGGACATATGGCTCCGCATTGCTGACCCAGCTTCCAAAAGACGTGCATTGAGTCCGGCTTCACGCAATTTATTAAATTTTTGGCTGGGCTGGTCTGCTTTGCCTCCCATCTGGAGATCCCTTCGTCCTACTGATCATTTGCAAGTGGAGGCTGCAGCAGATGCTATGGGCAATGGTCGTACCTTTGCCATTGGAGGCTACATTGCTTTACCGGGTGGAGAATTCTGGTTCTCTGAAAGATATACTGTGGAGGACTTTGTTTGCATTTGCTGAGCTTCCATTGAAATCCGAAGCACACAAGGACATTACGTGTTATGAATGCCTTGGTCAGATTGCATTAGTTTGGCTTTTGAGTGCAGTGAACCCAGGATGCAAGCTTTCCGTTCGTATGCATTCCTGGTGTGACAACAGTGGCGCTGAAGCTACTGCGAACAAATTGTTTACAACCTCGTGGCCTCTTGCTGCATTTGTGCAGCGTCTGGCCATTTTAAGCAGTTTCACGGGTGTTCATTTGGATGTGCATCACATTGCAGGTCCCAAGAACACGGAGGCAGATTTCTTGAGCCGTTGGACTCCGGCCGATGCACTACCTGTGCGCTGGAATCCCGGCCGAAGAAGGCGTATTCCATTGAAAACTCTCTGGAACGCCTCTCCCAGCATTTCAATCTCTCCTTCCTCTTGGAAGCCTCCTTTCAATATTCCGAGTGGTTCTCCTTTAGGAGCAGCACTCTGATGACCTTGTCGCACGTTTTTCATTTGGTGGAATTGATGCGCGACTTCGGTTCTCTGGCAGTCTTTGCATTTGGGGAAACATGCAGATCAGTTTCACTGCAAGGTCCATCCCTTGCTCGGACAGCATGATCTGCATTCCCGCCAGAGAACAAAGGAACGAGTGCTTTGCGAGTGACTGCATCAATTCCGTTTGAATATTTTTCATTTGCTTTATATGTATATGCTTTACATATAAAGCTGCACATAGGAAGCAGCTGCGAATACATTAACCGAACGGTATGTGTGCTTGCTCACGAGTGTTTGGTAATGTTTTTTGCATGCTTGCTGCATTTCATGACACTTCATGTACATTGCAGCAAGCAGGCTCGCAGCTGCCAGCTCGCCTGCATCGCAGGCTGAAATTTTGTCCCACCCACCTCTTCCCTTTGTTTGGGGAGTACAGTGCTGGCATCTGCATTCTGGTGGTCGCATTTTTACTTGCATTGCTGGCTCCTGATGTTTGCATCAACATCAAGCGATCCTTTTGTGGCCATCTTCTAAGAAGCATGACCTTTCTGCATTCCTTCATCGGTGACAGGTCGGTGCCTTTTGATGCACTTAGATCTCACCGGATGGGGGGAAACATGCAGATCAGTTTCACTGCAAGGTCCATCCCTTGCTCGGACAGCATGATCTGCATTCCCGCCAGAGAACAAAGGAACGAGTGCTTTGCGAGTGACTGCATCAATTCCATTTGAATATTTTTCATTTGCTTTATATGTATATGCGAACTCTGTCGAGCGCGCACGATATACCTTTATGAAACGTCGGACAGCCTTCCATGGGAAGGCGGTTTCAAAATGTGAGCTTTTGACTCACTCTTTTTTTTTAGGCGTGTTGCGGATTTTGTTTGAAAAGTAGTCGGACACACCTTTTGAGCATGCAGACTACTTTTCAATGTTGATTGAAGTTTGACTCAATTGCTATGGGAATTGTTGCATGTATGCTCTCATGCCGTTGCCAGTTTCCTCAATCAGTGTGAGTGAGGAAAACAAATTTTGTTGGGGCCTTTTGAGGTTCAGGACCCTGCATTGAACCAGGGCCCCTCTCTCGACGTTGGGCTTAGCCCACCGTGCACGCCGCTGTCGCCGACAGCGGCAGATGGCAGCAGAGCTGAAAGATGGGCGAAGGTGATGAATCTGCCCCGTTCGACAGTCGGGCAGTGGCCTTTCATGCAGCTCATACTTGGAATGCTTATAAGAGATCGGTAGGCATCTTCCCGAGCCCTCCAGAACAAATGCATTCGCTCTTCAGGAGAAGCTGCCTCTTGCCTAGGCCGACAGGGCTCTTGCCCCCAGCGCCGGGTCCAGGGCCGATGGCCGCTTCTTCCAGCTCCGGCCCAGATCTTGGAGCCTCGCAGTCAGCATTCCTTGCAGCGGGACTGAAGCCATTGTCAGCCCGAGATGCTCACTTAAGGTCTAAGGCCCTGGATGCTAATAGGAAGTGTGCCTTGAAGAAGTGGGTTACGCTTGTTTCCTTGGATTTTAACGCCTGGGGTGTAGCCAAGCAAGCCATGGGGCCTTTCGATCCTAAATTTGCCACAGGAGGCTTGGTGGAAAGTGTGCAGGACTGTCTTGCAGACAAAGCCACAGCTACCTTGCACCAACGCGTGGGACCCATCTTCAGATACGTGCACTTCTGGAAGCTTCAGTTCGTAGTGTGCCTGCCTGTGAGAGAGCACCAGCTCTACGATTACTTCAAGGCAAATCCGAATGCGGCCCCGACTTCGTTCAGGTCGCTGCTTATCGCTTTCAGCTTCGCCAAACATCTGCTAGGCTTGATCGTGTTGGACGAAGCCCTGAGCAGCGGGAGGATCGTAGGGCTTGCAAATGCTCATTACTCGACGAGGTGTGCAGTTAAGCGCAGGCCTGCTCTAACCGTGGAGCAAGTCAAGCGACTCGAAGCTCTCGTGCTCAGCCTCCTGGCGCGGCCAATGGACCGAATCGCAGCTGGGTGTTTTCTGCTTATGATATATGGTCGCCTACGGTTTTCAGACATGCAACGCTCTTCAGGTTTCGCGATTGATTCAGCTTTGATTGATGGCGTGGAATCAGGGTACCTTGAAGGGCAAGCCGAGAGGACCAAGACCTCGGTGTCGCTTGAAAGGAAGATCCGCTCTCTTCCCATCGCTGTTCCGTTGAAATGCGTAGGAGGTAGGCCTTGGATCAGAGCATGGCTTGAGCTTCGAGAGGCAGAGGGTCTCGATAGTTCGTATCCTACACTTCCGTGCCCCGCAACCGGAGGCGGGTGGACAAGACTTCCGCTTAAGGTCTCAAGTGGAGGCGCCTGGCTGAGAAGTTTGATTCCTGGCGCGAGTGCAGCATCTGGCGACGTCCAGATCGCGACCCACTCTTGTAAGAGTACACCGCTCTCCTGGATGGCGAAAAGAGGCGTGCCGGCCGGCCCTCGTCGCACTCTGGGTTACCACGTACCGCGCAAGGACAAGTCGTTAATCATTTATGCCAGGGATTCACTAGCGGCTCCATTGCGCGAGCTGGACCGGGTAATCGACGAGATTGCCGCCGGTAGATTCAAGCCGGATCTCACTCGAAGTGGGATGATAGCCAATCTTGCAGATCCACAGCTTCCACCTGAGCATGAGGAGGAGGCTGACGCCATATCATCGAGCTCTAGCGAGGCGTCCGATGATGAGGAAGAGGCTCCCGTGAGTGACGAGGAGCAGGCCTTGGAGCAGATCGCCGGTCAGTGGGGCCCCGAGCCCGGCGACGGGCCTTGGGCTCGTCACAAACAGACTAGGTTTTTGCACAAGGTGAGAGATGAGGCCGGGACCCACTTGAAGTGCGGTAGAGCGATCTCGGTGCGTTTTGAGATTTTAAGCGAGGCGCCAAGATTTATGTATCCTACATGCGCCACCTGCTTTCCGAACTCCTGAGGTTCAAAAGCCGTGTCAGGAGTCAACGCCACGCGTGGGCGAAAATCGCGGGGTCTGAGAAAAGGCAACATGCAAATGTCACCTTGGTCGTGGATGAATAACCAGCGCGATCTCGTAGTGACTGCTTGTGTCTTGGAAGTGCAGAACTACAAGTGCTGTTTGAGCGATGCTTGTCACGTGAATTGTGTGTTGCACTAGGGAGCTGCCGATGACAAAAGTGATTGCAAGGCGTGCTGGGCCCTAGTCTGAGCTTGACAGTCTAGAAAGAAAGAGCCATGTCGTTTGGAGAGAGTGCGGCTGTCTTCAAGGCGCGAGCCAAGGACATTGGAGTTTCAGATGAGAGCTTCGCGAAGCTTGAGGCGGAGGGACTGACAACGATGGCAACTTTCGCCTTCTGTTGTCATTTCAACCCGTCTGCGACAGACGAGAAGCCTCTCACCGACCTGGTGACCAAGGTTCTCGGTGCTGCGCCTTCCCTTAAGGAGATGAGTTGCTTTCGGCGTCTGTTCGCCGAGGCATACGCAACTGTTGCATCCGACATACGAGCTCAAGTGGAAGCAACGGAGGATTCATCGATCAAGAAATTAGCTCCGGCCGACAGGGCCGAGCGTTTGCGGGAGCAACAGGCCAGGCTCAAAGGTCTTGACTTGAGGGGCAACATGGAGCCAGGCGATTCCTTGATAGATCGGGCTGTGGCGATCTACGAATCTGACAGACTCCAATATGTGGAGTGGCAGCATTCTGTCAGCAGGCAGCATGAGCTTCTTACCGGGCTCAAGAAGGATGCATCGCTTACTTTGGATTCTGCAGGCGGCCTGAAAATTGCCAGCAAGCCCAATGTAACTCCTTGCGACGTGTCGAATGACATGATGGTTCGCTACGCCTTAGTGCGAAGGGGCCTAGCCTTTGAACAGGCGAACATCATGGCATACCATTTGCACGATGAGTTGCTTGAAAAGTACATGTCGTTCAGGCTTACCGACCCTCCTCCGAATCATGCACGGGTGAGCTTGAAACAGATTGAGCAAGCTGATCGACAATTTACCTTGTTGCTCGCGGAACACACTCGCAGCGGCATCAAGGTGAAGGCGGGAGGATCGCGGCCATGCGATGATGCATTCCGCAAAGTGTTCGAGAGCACTGACTTCCTCTCGATGCTAACCCCGAGGCCTCTTGCAGCGGGATCAGGAGCTAGCCGTGACGCTTCCTCAGGTGATGAGCCCCCGATCAAGCGCCATAAGGGCAATGGCAAGGGCGTGGGTCGTGGGCGCGGGGGTAAGGGCGCCGGCAAAGGATCCACCAATGCCAGGGTCCCGGCAGAGCTCCTCGCACTCGGGTGCGTGGCCGCCACGCCTAAAGGACATGCCTTATGCTTCGATTACTCGCTAGGGAAATGCTCCCGAGCAGTGGCCAACCAAAGGTGTGAAAGGGGATTGCATTTGTGTGCAGTCAAAGGATGCCACAGAGGGCACCCAGCCAAGGAATGCCCTGCGAAAAAGGCGCCTTCGTCGTGACTAATGAGTCCGACGAGCGCGCGCGCCCCACCATCGCCATTGGCGCACGGTGGGAGCGATGTCACAGAGAGCCATGGCTCAACTGCCGGTGTGGAGCCAGCAGATGATCAATCGCTCAACGATTCTTCTTGTTTTCCCCCTGAGCCACCCTGTAAGGCGGCTAAATTAGACGATGCATATGCCTTTTGCGAATCTTTGGCAAGCCACTTTTTGCAATCTTCCGACTTCAGTGCAACTAACATAGCGTCCATTTTGGACGCATTTCCTTCGGAGGACCACACTCGAACTTGGCTGGAAGCCGATGGAGACTCCAAAGCCATTACGGTAGGTGCGTGCAACCGAGGCGGGGTCACAGCAGTTCGCAGTAACACCCGCCGCATGCCGGCGGTGGCAAAGTATCTTGCAGCTTGTGTCAAGTTGGTTGCACCGAAATGCGAGTTCACATCCGTGTCTGTGCACCGGAACCTACAAGCCCCAATGCATCAGGACTCCTTCAACAGCAGTGTGCCTAACGTCATTGTCCCACTATCCTCCTTTGCTGGAGGACACATCTTCGTCGTGCATCCTGAGGGCCCAGACCATACAACCTACGAAGATGTTCCGTGGACAGGTTTCAAACTCGATTGTGCTTCTCATGCTTGGGCTTTTGATGCTAAGCACTGCAAACACTTTACTTTGCCGTGGAAAGGCTCCAGATCCCTTCTCGTTGCCTTTACCGTGGGTCACCTCTCGGGTTTAGCTCCCGGTGACAGGGTCCCCTGCCAGGATGTACAACAGGGCCCCACCATGAAGCCGTACCCTTTGCAAGGTTACGATTTGCGGTGTCCACAAGTGTCCACCGACTCGGCGCCGCTGGCTCAGCCGAGTCCGGCCTTCCCTTCTGCTGAGTTGCCCGCCGACGGGCCTTTGGTGATCGAGCTCTGTGCCGGGTCCGCCATTCTCAGTCAGACGGCCGCATGCCGCGGCTTTGCAATCATGCCAGTGGATCATGCGCACAATCGCCACGCTCCCAAGTGCAAAATCGTGAATCTCGACTTGACAAAAAGCCACTCCTGGGAGGTCCTCAAATTTGTAATCAAGTCCCGGCGGGTGGTGATGGTGTTTGCTGCTCCGCCTTGCGGCACCTGCAGTGCTGCTCGCAACTACCGCCCGGGACCCCCAGTGCTCCGCACTACCTCACATCCGTGGGGTGTCCCGTGGGCCTCTACCAGAGACTGTGTCAAGCTTAAAGCTGCCAATGCAATATACAAACACCTTTGTGCTTTTCTTGAAATGTGCGATCAGCACTCCGTGCCTTGGTGCGTGGAGAACCCTACCAACAGCATGTTCTGGGAACTGCCATGTCTCGCGTACCCTTTGGCTCATGGTTTCTTCGCACATTGTCAGGCATGCGCTTTCGGCAGCGAACGCGACAAGAAGACCTCCTTTTTGTGCAGCAGCTCGTGTATCTCTCGCATGGCTCTCATGTGCCCAGGCTGCAAACAACATGCATCATGGGGCCAGACCTCTTCTGCCACCTTCGCCACGGCGGAGGAAGCAGCTTACCCACCGGCCATGTGTCAGGCCTTGTGTGATGTCTTTGAGTCTGAGGCTGCGCGCCTCAACTACACGTTGGGCTCGGCTCATCCAGTCCTGGCCCGAGCCCACAAGCAGCCTCGCGGGCGCCTACACCCGCAACTCCTGTCGGAACATAGTGCAATCCTCTCCCGTCTGCTGCCCCGGGCCCCGACCCTTAATAACAAGCGCTGCCTCAAGCATGATGTTCACGGCGTCCCGGCCGGCAGCAAACTCTTGCGTTCCGAGAATAGGGGAAGTAAAGGTGTCTTCTGTGTCTTTGGAGTCTTCAGGAGCCCAGAGTCGTTCGTCAGAGAGGCTAAGCTGCTGCACCACCCGTTTGATTCCCTGGCACAGCTACCAGACTACTTGATCAAATCCCTGTTTGAGCAGATAACAAAATCCCCTGCGGAGATCTGCAAGCTCAGACTTCTTCGTCTTCAAAGATGGAGAGCCAGAGCGACGGAGCTGGCGCCAGTCGAGCATGCACACCGTGCCAAGATGCAGCCTTCAGTGAGGGAAATCCTCGCCAACAAGCGTACGGCTCTCCTGGAGGAGATGGCGGCCGAAATTGATTGGCCGGACAAGGGTCTCTTCTCAGAAATGCGCCAGGGCTTCCGACTCGTTGGCTGCCTGAGCCCTTCTGGTGTGTTCAGGGAAGGAGGGTACCTCGCCTCCATCAGCGAATCGGAGTTGATGGAAAACGCTGATAGCATCAAAGATTCTCTCTTGTCACGTGTGTCATCTGATCCTCTTGACGAGAACGCTGACGAGCTGTACGATGTGACTCTTCAAGAGTCAACCCAGAAAAAGTGGCTAGAAGGGCCGATGTCTCCCGAAGACATTGGAAAGCGACTTGGGGCATGGATCCCAGTGCGCCGCTTCTGTGTTGTGCAAAAAGGACGCTTGAGACCGATCGACGACTTCAAGGAGAATCTTGTAAACCAAGCCTGCTCTACAAGCGAACGGATCGTGCTTCAGGCGATGGACCATCTTTTATGGTCTCTTTCTGTGTTGTGCCATTTCTACCGGAAGCGAGGAGCCGTCGATTTCACTTTGTCCTCTGGAGAGAGGTTGACGGGGCACGTCCACCCTGACTGGCAGAAATCGGGGGCGAGCATGCAAGTCGCCACCTTGGACTTGAAATCCGCATACAAACAGCTACCTTTGAGTCCCTGCGATTTCGACAAAAGCGTGGTGACCTTGAAGGATCCGAAAACGGGATCCATCTCTTGCTTTGTCATGCGCACGCTCCCATTCGGAGCGCTTGCATCAGTGTACCACTTTCTGCGCGTCAGTTTGCTGTTGCATGCCCTCGGGTGCCACCTAGGAGCATGCTGGTCCGCATACTTCGACGATTTCCCCATGGCAACGCATTCGCTTGTGGCCACGTCAACTTCGGCTCTAGTTAAGGGGTTCCTTAAGTTAGCGGGGTTCGACTTTGCAGATGAGAAGTGCACGCCTTTCTCTGCCGATGTCGAAGTCTTGGGAGTTACTCTCGATGTATCCCAGAGCACGGAGGGACTCATCAATATCCGAAACAAGCCTTCCAGGTGCGAGGAGCTGAATGCTGTGATTGAGGAGGTTCTTAGGGATAAGTCCATTGTCCCCTGCCGGTTACCCTCCTTCATAGGCAAACTTCAGTTCGCTGACGGTCAAATCTGGGGCCGGGCTGGGCGCATGGCCTTGCGCGATCTAAGGACTTTAGGGTTCACTTCTAGGGTGCCGGTTTCCCTCGATGCCAGCGGGATCGATGCGCTCAAAATCCTCCAGCAGAGGTTGATGCACGGAAAGCCTCGCGTCATCCGGGCCGGATGGAAAGAAAAGCCGATACTGCTGTTCACAGATGGAGCACTGGAAGATGACAACCACGATCACGGACCGGCCACCGTGGGGGCAGTCATGTTTAAGCCGAATGAATCCAATGTGTACGCTTTCGGATGCGAGGTGCCGGCCAACGTACTGTCTCATTGGAGATCCGACGGCAAGCGTCATGTCATAGGTCTTGTGGAGCTTTATGGAGCCATTCTGGCTCTTCGGCATTGGCGTAAACACTTGGACGGCAGACGAGTGATTTTGTTTGTCGACAATTGGCCAGCACTTGATACTCTTGTCAAAGGAGATGCCACCGTCGCAATTTGGCGGGAAATTCTTATGATCCTTGAAAACCCGCAGGAAGCATCACCATGTTATTTATGGATAGCACGAGTACCTTCAGCGTCCAACATCGCAGACGCCCCGAGCCGTGGATCGCTTTCCGAGCTTAGTCACTGGCCGTTATGCGTCGAGGTGCCCAATTGCCCGCTGTCGAAAGTTGCTCTGAAGTCGATTGTGTCTCAAGGCTAAAGCAGACTGGGGGATTTATGCTTCGAGGTGCACGGTTAAACCGGGCACGTCACAATGAGCTGTGGCTCATGTCTTATGCCGGGTCGAGGGGCCCGGCACAGGATTCATCCCCAGTTTGCCGATGCGTGTAAAACAATCGAGTGAGCAGCTTGCCAGCAGTCACTATTTTGATATGCTTCGCAAATATGTTTGCGAGCCCAAATATCATTTCGGGCAATACTGATTTGTCAACCTTGCAATTGCTTGTATGCCATATTTCCTCGAAGGGGAATTGTACACGCCCCCACGATCGTGTTATTCTTATATCCTTGTTGATTAACTTTTGAAACTCCGACGAACTTCATAAGAACTCTGTCGAGCGCGCACGATATACCTTTATGAAACGTCGGACAGCCTTCCATGGGAAGGCGGTTTCAAAATGTGAGCTTTTGACTCACTCTTTTTTTTTAGCCGTATTTCGGGATTTTGTTTGAAAAGTAGTCGGACACACCTTTTGAGCATGCAGACTACTTTTCAATGTTGATTGAAGTTTGACTCAATTGCTATGGGAATTATTGCATGTATGCTCTCATGCCGTTGCCAGTTTCCTCAATCAGTGTGAGTGAGGAAAACAAATTTTGTCCCACCCACCCGACCCTGTGGGGGATTTATGCTTCGAGGTGCACGGTTAAACCGGGCACGTCACAATGAGCTGTGGCTCATGTCTTATGCCGGGTCGAGGGGCCCGGCACAGGATTCATCCCCAGTTTGCCGATGCGTGTAAAACAATCGAGTGAGCAGCTTGCCAGCAGTCACTATTTTGATATGCTTCGCAAATATGTTTGCGAGCCCAAATATCATTTCGGGCAATACTGATTTGTCAACCTTGCAATTGCTTGTATGCCATATTTCCTCGAAGGGGAATTGTACACGCCCCCACGATCGTGTTATTCTTATATCCTTGTTGATTAACTTTTGAAACTCCGAAGAACTTCATAATTTACATATAAAGCTGCACATAGGAAGCAGCTGCGAATACATTAACCGAACCAACAAGAAACGAACGGAGTGTGGGGCGGGGCCCTGGAGGCCACCGCCTACGCCAAGGCCCAAAACATGCGGCTATGGATTGTTTCCACAGAAGATGAATTGCATCTTCTTAACAAGGAGGGCAGTCAAGGATTCATTGTTCTCAAGTTCGATCATGCTCGGGAACATTATGAGGCTGTCATCAACGCCTGCGAGGATGAGCTTTTTGCTCGCCAGCTTCATCTGAACCTCAATGGAATGAAGCCTCTCACCAAGTTGCTTCGTTCATGGATTGGGGGGGGGTGGGTTGGGGGGGGGGTGGTTAACCTTATCCTTACACTAGCCTAAGCCTGGACATCCTTGGGACGTCCAAGGGGGATAAGCTGGAAGTCTTTGGAGAACCTGCTTCACTAGGGACGGCAGCCAGCAGCAGGCTTATTTTCGAGTGCTCGGAGCAACTTGGTGACGCGAGAGTGAGACTGCAAGACTTCAGCCTATTCAAGCCAAACTGGAGCTGAAACGTTTGGTTTTCTAGCGTGTTTATTGACATTACGCACAGCAGCATACAGATGACCGGTCGTCCAGCACGGCACAACAAAACCACAGCGTCAAGAGCTGAATCATGTCTCCAGTGAGCGCTGGCAAAATGCAAACCGCTAACTTCACGGACTGCTGTTGGTTGATTGTAACTGTGACCTAGCCTGTCAAACCTATTTTGCACCTGTCCGCCGGCGCTTGGCGCTCTGCTGCACGGCCGATGGTGCTGACTTCGCAGCACCGCGCGCAGACGATGAAGCTGCTGGAGCAGAGCTTGCTGCCGAGGCCGCAGGGGCATCGGCTTCACTTCCCACGTTCATTGTCGCAACGCAGCTTGCCACTTCAGCTCGTGTAGGACTCAGATGTGAGGATGCCAAACTAAAGCCCGGTTCTGGCGCGGAAACTGATGTGCGGCTGAGCAACGGTTTGCGCATACCAGCCTCCCATAGACGAGAAAGACAAGACAAGCTGCATTCACATCATATACCGCCACCAAGCGGTTTCCCACATCCAGAAAACCTAGCGTGCTGCAGCAGATGACAGTTGACTGTTCAGGGTTCCGCTTGCGCACAACACGGAAAGCAACTGAGTCCGTATCGTTCGAGCTGAAGCTTGAGTTCACCGTCGCTCATGGCATCTTCTGGAAAATCTGTGCGCTGTTTTCACACACTACCGCCTGCCCAAAACATTAAATTAAGAAACATGTCTGCTAACTCTTGCGATCTCGATAGCTCATGTTGTCCTGAAGACAGTCGTGTTGCTACACCATCCAAAAACCTAACCGACACCTTGAAAAGAAGTGTGCCAAGCAAGACAGGATCAGAGACACATCGCAGATGCCAGCATAAACTCAAGGTGCTTGTGACAGGCCCTCGGGATAAGCCCGTATCCATCTTGTGAAAGGCCCTCGGGATAAGCCCGGATTCGTGTTGCCGAACCACCCCCTCCCCCACCCACCCCCCCCCCAATGCATGATTCGTGGTGGTGGCAAGTCGCTCTGCCTTTCTGATTTCGCTTCTCATCGCGGAGGCCCTGCATCAAGTAAGCAGTCTCGTTCTAAAGGCACGCGGGTGAACAACCGTTCTTCTGCCCCTCCCGCATGAGTGGTAAGCGGTGGGCCGACGTTCCTCGCCTCTCTGAATTTGCATCCGCTGCTCGATTGACCGATTTCGCATCGGAGGCTGGGGCTGCAGCTTCCACTCATGCGGCCAGTGATTCTGAACTCACCCCTGCTGCCCCTTCTTCCTCCGCATCGGAGCGGAGGTTAATGCATTCCGGTACTTGCCTGTGTGGTTGGACGGTTCCCGAGCCCAGGTACTTTGAGGATCGTATTCCGGCGGAAGCTAGAAGGAAGCACTGGCAACAATGCATTAGGTGTGAAGGTCCCCTCCCCGCTCGCATGCCTGCTCTCACAACCGCTGCAGCCAGGAAGGCCCCTCGAGCTGAGGCTCACACCCAAATCCTGCACCGCAAGATGGCCATGATGGCGCAATCGCCGCAACCATGGATGCACCACTGTGTCTTTCACAAGGTCCTTGATAAGCCTGACGGCCCTTTCAACTCGGTTCGTCGGATTAGATGCACGGCTTGCAATCGCATTGGCCCGTTCCATGCTCTCATGAAGACCATATGCGACAAATCTGAGGCTGCGCGTAACCCTGAACTCCCGTGCATCACACATGCGGAGCGCATTCAGTACATTTCCAAGATTCACAAGAAGGCTTGTGCTGCTCAGACTAAGGCTCATAAGGCTGCGGTCCACGCCAAGCGAACTGCTCGTGACACTGTTGCTATTGCTACTGCCAGATGCTCTCGCAAACAGATGCGCGGGATCATCAAGAGCCGCAAGGGGCGGGGCAGAGTTCGTAGCATGCCTGCTGCAAATTCGGAGTGACGGGGTAGGGTCCGCACTCCTCCGGTGTGGACCCAACTGCATGGCATTGGTGAGGCCGATAACCCGGGTCCTGCAGGACCTCCTACTGGACTCCGGGCTTTGACTTGGAATATTGGTAGTCTGACCTTGCACCAGCTTGTTTTGCGTCAGCTGCTGTCCAATCATCGCATCGACATTGCTTTCATCCAAGAACATCGTGTTCCGCTTGAGGCTCGCAGTAGAATGAGGCGGGACTTTCGGACCGAAGGGTGGAGTCTGTTCTTCGGTCCTGACCGCCAGTGTGGATACGGCGAGGCCATTGTGGTTCACAAACGTTTTTCCGGGGTGGCGTTGCATGAGTCATCGTCCATCTGTGCGGTGGCATTGCGGTTGCGCAGCGGTGCGTTGGGTCGTTTTGCTAGTGTTTATGCTCCAGTGGCCGAACACGGCACTCAGGATTCTTACTGGTTTGAGCTTGCCTCATGGGCCAATCTTCCTGGGGTTTGGTTTGCGGGGGGGGACTTCAATATTGATCTGTCTGAGGCCTGCCACTCTCCGCCTTTCGGTCCGATTGGGCATTTGGTTTGTCCGGAGGGGGGCGCATGGCGCCGCTCGCTCCACCACGATTGGTGCAGGCCCATTGACGGTTTCTTGGGGTGTAGGGGTCTGAAACCCTCCAGCTCATGTTGGGCCCTTCGGGATCAAGTGATTACTCAGCATGCTCCGGTGATCAGTGTCGTGCCGTGTGCGGGGCTGGATGAGCATACTCTTTCTTGGAGCCTTCCTAGGCCGATCTCCTCGGATTGGCATCGTCAGGCCGATGATGCATTTAGAGGGGCTCTTTCTCGTGGTGATTCTGATGCTGCCTGGGCGATTTGGCTTGAGCTTGCCTTCGGCCTTAAGCATGATCGTGATCCCTACAGCCGCGTGGGTTGCTCGGTTTTAGGTCCGGGTCGGGAGTTTAAGGAGCGGACTCTCGCGGCCATGCGCCAAACTCGCAAACTTGCTCATGATGCTTCCGCGCTTGGGTGGAATCATCGCTTGCATTGCCAGTATGAGCGCCTTGAGCGTGACCTTGAAACCTTGGTTGCCGATCGTCGCAAAACCATGCTGCAATCTTGGAAAGAGCGGATGAGACACCTCGGTCCCGCTGCACGCTGGGTTAAACACCATGACTCACCTCCTTTGTCTTTGTCCAGGGAAGATGGCTCGCCGGCCATTACTCCTGTTGAGCAAGGTGAAGCCATCAAACGCGAGTGGCTCCCTCGGTGGACTGAGCTCCCTAGGACCTTCCTCGAAGAGTCTAGGGGGGCACTGAACGCTGTTGTTGGGCCTTTGGCTGCTCGTGCTCCGGCCTTCCACGCTCCTCCCCCTTGGTCGGTTCAAGCCATTCGAAGGGAAATGCGTTCTTCTGCTGCCGGCCTCGATGGCCTCGGTTTTCATCATTACGCCGCGCTCGATGACCATCACCTCCAACGGTTGACGCCTTTGATTCGGGCATGGCCTTTCCTGCTTCATGGCATACCGCACGCCTCATTTGCATCTCCAAATCTGACGGAAGTGCCAGACCTCTGACGGTCCT